AAAAAAAAAAAAAAAAAAAAGCTCTGTTGCTCGATGTTTGCAATCTACTCAAACTGTGGACCATGGAAAAAGGTATTCAAAGTTTAAATGATATTCATTACTGAAAAATATTCAATGGCACATGTACCGCCTGCAGAATTCCGTTCTTATGCCTTACGGTAACACGGAGAAAGTAAAGCCTTGACATATGGCAAGTCTGGAAATCAGGAACTAAGCATAACAGGTCAAACGCAGACAGTCCTGGCGCAATTTCTGGGGCTCCTTTCAAGTGACAGCTCTCAAAATCAATATCAAGAATACAGTTTTTGGAAGCAATATTGTAGGTCTGATCAGCTTGTGATTGAACCTGTTCCCACGGCACAGCAGCGAAGTTCAGAAAGCTCCCTGCGCCCTTTTCATTTTCATGCATGATTTTTACGTCTGGAACTGCTAGGTTGATTTTTTTTGTCTGAACCAGAGCCAAACTTTTGATGCCTTTAAATAACAGAGTCTCCACTCTAAAAGCGTCGTTGTTGAATCCGATTTCCTTCATTAAGGACACAAGAGAACAATAGTGGTCTTGAAAGGTTTTGATTACTATGGTCTCGAAAGACTCCAATTCATCGGATTTCTTTTGCCCCATGTCATCTACGTACTCGTCAAAGAAGCACATATCGTGACTGAACTCAATTGGAATTGGATGCTTTTTCGATCGAATGGTAATCAGCAACAAATCACAAGTTATGGACCTTGGTTCGGGTGGCGTTTGCTTCCCTTCACGCAAATCATATGCATAAGAAAGTTCTATTGGCACTCTAACTTTTGTATTGTAGCCCTGCAATGGATTCCGGAATTGCCGGGGAGGCACGTATGGAATCTTGAGCGAGGCCTTTGGTGTAGCGAGAGAAATCGTGCCCAATATTTTGGAAAACCCGGTGATGGTCTTTTTGCGGTAGGCACTGACGTGTTGATAAAATTTTGTGCCAGAAGCTTTGATATTGTGACCCTTTTTATAACTTCCAGAACATATGTACATATGCTTTAGTTTGTCTACGACCAGTGCACCCGATGTAGACGTTCGTGAAGTGGTCAGATTAAACGGGGTCAAGGGAAGCGAAGAAGACCCAGTTTTTGCTTCAAGTCTCATTCTTTCACGCACTAGCATGCCCTCTTCAATTTTTTGTTCGACTGTCTTTAAATATGCCCGGTAATATGCGTCAATCTTCAGTTCATAAACTTCCTTGTATTCTGGAAACACAGAGTAAGGAAGCACTCGTAAAGGAACGCTTGTTTCCCGTGCTAAGACATACTTATCCTTATCGACTTTATGATTGTACTGTGAAGCACGTCCCATGACTCTGGCAGACACAGAATAGCCAATAAAGGAGTCCATGAAAGACAAGTCTTTGATCTGATTTTCATCATGTATCGGAAAGCGTTTCGATGAGCTCAAATTGAACGCTCTCCCTAGAGTAGGAAGTAAGGTACAATGAGCATCCAAATTATGAGCATCACAATTGTCATCCAAGAGACGTTCTGGAATGCGGAACGAGAAAAACCTTTTATAGGTGGTATGTGGCCGAAATAGCCTCTTAACGTCAATTGAAAGTTGTGTATAATCCCATGGATCTGTATCGCCTTCACACCAATCATGAGGGTCTCCACTGTCAGTAACAAGACGGTCTATGTTCGCATAAGACCAGGATGCGAACAAGTCGAGCATATTCAAGAATTTGACGACCGTGGGTGGATTAAGAGAGTCTTTCGCGCCATTTCCCAGCTGAACCACACAGAGTATACCTTCGAAAGCAACGTAGACCATATCAAATGGTATTGGCTCCTTGAACTGATTTTCAATGGTTACGTATCCATGAATATAGTCCCCTTGTTTATATTCGGTATGTGATGGGTCAATTAAATTAGGAATAACACCCTTTTGGCAAACCTCTTCAGTAAAGAAGACCTTGATATCCAAGTTATTTGCCATGGGGTTATTTGACTCTGCTAAATTGTCCAAGTTGTGTACGTGGGCTAGAACTGTGGATTCCCAGTAATCGGCTGAGTTTTGATTGAAAGTTTGGGTGATTCCCTCCTCCAATTCGGGCATTGCGGGGAACGGAAACGACAAAAGACTGGGATTTTGAGGTAGTGTTGTATGAACAGGAGTCACTCCTCCTGAATTCAACGGAGACATCTCGTAAAGTGGGGGGTCTTCCTTGAAGTTTTCCTCATTTGGTATCAATTTCTTGGAAATGGTCGACTCGAACATATGATAAGATGGTAAGATAGAGTTGATAAGCAGGTCATCGTCCTGCCTCCGGCTTTCTTGACTGCGAGCCAGCGCAATAGGAGACACAGCTGAAAGATCGTCTGACATTAGTGTGCCACAATCAAGACTTTGGGTTTTCTGATAATACCTTGAATATATATAGATCGGGTGCAGGATCCGATACACAATGAGATGAGCCTAGATGGGATCCACCGGGATTATGCTCCAGCAAGCTAAAATCGGAACGCATCCCGAAAAAGTTCCTTTTCTCAAATTTTGTTTATTGTTCCCGTATATGCTGGTTTTCTTGTTGTAAGGCTTTATGAAGCATGTACCGAAAAGGCTTTCCAATTTCTTTCTCCCCCTTCTCAATTCGCAATTCTTATCATTTGGAGCTTTGGGGGTAGCTTTGGAATCCAAAATCCATAAAGCTTAAGTTTTATATTTCACAAAATTGATACTCATTCAAAATTTTGCACTTGCAAAAAAAAGAAAGTACTGGGAAACAAAAACTACTTGGGCAATTCGAAGAAGCTGGCAATCGAACCACTTGCTTCGTTTACACCTTCAAACATATTGATTGTTCCAAATGCGAACGTACTTGTTTATTGTATGCACAATAAGACAAAACAAAACCAAAAAAAAATGACTGACTTTGAGAGATTGCTAAAAGCGACAACCCAGAAAGGTGCTACTTATGAGTGCATCGGAAATATTCGGTTTGGCTCTGTTACCATCAGAGCAGGTGTATGTCAATTCCTGTATGTGGCACGATGAATAGATATAACTGGTTGTGACCTCTTCCCAGCAAAATAATTGCTCAACAAGCCTTCTTACTCGAGCTAAACTAGTGCATTGTTGATCAGGATGATAGCCGGGGCGCAAAGTCTAGCGATTATTGTCAGAAGTTAAGCACATCGCACAGCATGTCAGAATAGAGCATCATCTTACAAACCGATGGGTTGTCACGAGCAAGCCAATTTTAAAACAAAAGCAAGGTCCTCAACGTAGTCGCATCTTACTTGGATTCCGAGTAATTTTTCGGGGAAAAAATATCCAAAATAAAGATGATAAATGAATGAAGTTTGCCGGAATACAACCGATGATGACTGGCGCAGCGGAGAACTCGACCTTTTTTTGGGCTGTTTGAAAGAAGTTTCCATGTACACTTCACATAGAAGACAGGTGTGATGCAAATTTGCTGTCAAACTAGACACTAGGTGGACCATGTTGCTTAGACATTGGCAAGACGCGACAAAACAATGGAAACGGGATCATAAAAATATGGCGGGGGTTTTGCAAAGAGGGATGGAATCGATCACTTGGGCCAACATACTACTTCTCTATGCTGATGGACAAAAACGCGTGTGATTATTGCGGATGAACTCGATCAAGAAAATGCTTGGTTGAGTGTCAAATTCTAAGTGTGAGGCATATGAACGGAGTTGACCATAAGTAAGCTTGTAATTTATCTCACAACGATAAAAAGTCGTATTTTAAAGGACTTGTATGCTGAAATTATAGTTAGCTGCTAGCAGTACTGGAGCAAGTTCTACAAAACCGGAATGAACTATTTGTGAAGGGCAGCTCCTACTAAATCCAAAAAAAAAAAACAAGGCCAAATGACCGATACGATCATTGACACCCGGATTAACTGAAGGGCCCTAGACTTTTAAGAAAAAATGTAGCTTCTCACCGCAAACTTGAAAAGCACCTTTTCCCTGTTTGCTTTAGTAATCCACATTTACAAGACCTGCATCTTCTCTTGACGTTGCTCTCTATGCGTATCCAAGATCAGATGAACTCAAAACTTTAGAGAGCAATATTGATTTTAATTAACATCAAGAGTTATACGAGTCCAATGCAGCAGTCCACAGCTCATGGTGACATGAAAGCGAAGGTCAATCGGATTTATTTCATGCGGTGAGGTGATGACTTTCTATTCTGTCAAAGAGAAGATAAGCGAAAAAACGCCCGCACCCGTGCCGATGCAGGTCACCTAGTGGGTGCACACAGTGGACTGGACTGGAGACGATGAAAAGGTGACCCTGCCCACCTTATATATCACCTTTTCGCTGGCTCTGGAATCTGCTCGCTAGTACATAGTTCCTCCAGAACTCCAGCAATGCATATTCCATTTACATCACCGCGTGGTTCGTCAACACAATACCATATAAACGTCTCTTGCTTATCAGTTGCCACCTATCTTGTGGCTTTAGGCGGGATTTGTCAGGCAATAGTTGTGCCGAAATTTAGTGACCAGCAAGCTCTTCATTTTGCTATTCTGGGATCTCAAGAAAAATATCTGCTTGATAATAAAAATGATCCTGTTGGAGATAATCTTGGCCAGCCCGATTTGAACCCTTCGAAGGATCATCTTGCTGTAGGTGTACATGGAATGGTGGCATGCGATGTCCCTCTTTGCTCTCAAATGGGCAGGGACATCCTCCGAAAAGGCGGAAACGCCGCAGACGCCGCTGTCACTGTTGCTCTCTGTATCGGTAGTATCAACTCGCATTCTTCGGGCATTGGTGGCGGAAGCTATATTGTCAGTACAAAAGGAAACGAGTCTCTTTCCATCGATGCTAGAGAAATAGCTCCGGCAAAAGCACACAAAAACATGTATCAAGGCATACCTCTTTTATCGCAGTTTGGCGGCTTGGCAGTAGCAGTTCCAGGGGAGTTGGCAGGCTTGTATGAGCTCTTTTCGCTCCATGGATCAGGCAACCTCACATGGGCGGAGTTGTTTCAGCCAGTAATTGAATTGAACGAGGAAGGCTGGGATGCCCCCCAAATATGGACCAGAGCACTCTACAAAATACATGAAATGCTTCTTTCACGCGTTCAGGCTTTGAAGGATTCGTGGGATTTCGTTTTCAAAGAAGGAGGCTCTGGGTTGGTGGAGATAGGAGACCGCTTGAAGCGTCCTGCCCTTGCTAAAACTCTCCGCATAATTGCCCAAAATGGTTCGGCAGATGCTTTCTATGACCCTGAAGGTCCTATAGCGCCTAGTCTTGTTGATGCAAGTAGAAAGCTAGGCGGGATTATCGAAACGCTGGATTTTGCCAGCTACTCCGTGAATGTATCAGAGGCTCTTCTGTATGAATTCATACACGAGGACGAACATTACGAGATCCTTACCACAAAAGGCGCTTCTTCCGGTATTGCGTTGGTAGCTGGCCTTAATTTCTATTCTACTCTTGATCTTCATTCCAAGGAGTTAGGAAAGCAACCCGAGCTTCAAACACACCGCCTCATCGAAGCAATGAAGTGGGCAGCAGCAGCTAGATCAAATCTAGGAGATGTGAACGAAACCTACTACGAAGAAATTGTAGAGAGGTATGGGGACCAGAAGTGGGCCGAGAATATCATTCACCAGAAAAAGTACTCTGATGATCGAACTTTTCCGTGGAAACACTATGAGCCTTTATATGAAATCAGTGGGAAGCACGGAACGTCCCATTTTTCCATTGTGGACAAAGAAGGCGGGGCGGTCGGTATGACAACCACTGTGAATTTGCTTTTCGGCTCACTGGTCTATGATAATCGCACAGGAATATTCTTGAACAATGAAATGGACGATTTCTCCCAACCGAATAGAAGAAATGCCTTTGACTTGTCGCCGTCTACTCTCAATTTCGTTGGTCCACATAAACGTCCTCTTTCACTGATGGCACCCAGCATCGTAAAGAAAAACGGCGAAATTGAGTTTACGCTCGGCTGCGCTGGGGGTTCCAGAATTTCCACAGCAATACTTCAGGCTATTGTGCGAATCATTTATTGGAATATTCCACTTCTTGAAACCATAGCCTTGCCAAGAATCCATCACCAGCTTATTCCAGAGTGTACCATGGTGGAAAATATCGAGCTTTTCGAGGGGGAATACATGCCTCTCCAAATTGCATCAGCTTTGGAGAAGAAGAATCACACTCTTTACGAATCTGGCGCGCTCACTGCAATGAATGCCATTAAACGGGTAAATGGCCAATGGGAAGGCGTCAGTGACTATTGGCGCAAGCGCGGGCAGGCTAGCGGCTACTAGTCTTAGGGCAATCAGCTAGTGGCTGGCAAATTCTTGAAATTCAGTCAATATCTATGTTTCGGCCATTCCAAATGTTTTTTTTTTTCTTTTTCATATGAATTGTACAAACAGAATTTCAGATGAAACATTCGAATTTCATTTGGTGTCAAGGAGAGCCCAATCACAGATTCGGAAATAGCACACATCACGGATGGCCGGCATGACCTCATTTGAGACAAATTGACGCTAGTGCGGGCGGACGGAGCTTTCACCCCTGCATGCAGTATGATTTGTGGGGGTGTTTTCGACGGCTGGTTAAAGGGTGTACAAACTACTCTCGTGTTTTGGTAAAGAGACACCTGCAAGTGTACAACACAACTCGAAATTAATGAAGAAATGTGCCATTTTTAACTAATTGAATAAAAAAAAAGAAAGATGTTCATGTGTGTTGCAACGGAACCCGTCGGCACGTTCACTCACTTCCCTTCTTTCCCATTGGTCTGATACTGCGGCATCAAACTCCGAGGAAAAATCTGCGGGTTTTCGGAAAGTACAGGATGGAGCCTGCATGAACTGCCCTCCCCAGATTTCGGAGCTGTGGTCCGGTCACTCGGGTATTTAATCTGGGCCCGCCCCACCACAATTCTACCTTATTGCCTCAATTCATTTCGAAACCCCGTTCAATTATTTATTAGCCCATACATTCTTCCGCAAATCTTGTTTTTCTTTGAAAAACCCCTTATTTATTCCTTATTTATTTCTGCAACGGAGTCTTCACTTGTTCTCGTCTTTTTTACCCCAACCTTCGAAATCATGACCACATTCCAATACCAAGATAAATTGAAGAAATTGCCAATTCCAGATTTGGAAAAGACATGCAGCAACTACTTGAATGTATTAAAGCCGCTTCAGACGGAAAAGGAGCACGAGAAGACAGTGGAAGCAGTACAGAAATTCTTGAAAAGAGGAATTGGCCGGTACTTGGACACTGAATTGCGGAGCTACGCAGAGTCCAGAAACTCATACATTGAGCAATTTTGGTATGACTCATACTTGAACTATGACTCCCCTGTGGTGCTCAACTTGAATCCCTTTTTTCTTTTGGAAGACGATCCATTCAATAACGAGGCGACGTGCGTTAATCCCCAGGTTAAACGTGCGGTTTCCTTAACGGTTTCTTCTTTGAAATTCATCCAGGCCTTGAAGAACGAAACTTTTCCAGTTGACACTCAAAGAAACGGAGAGCCTCTTTGCATGTACCAATACTCAAAGTTGTTCGGAGCTTCGCGGATCCCGACGGCTGAAGGATGTGTGATGCAAAGTGACCCGAACTCAAACCACATTATTGTCATGAGCAAATCTCAATTTTATTGGTTTGATGTTTTGGATGACCAGAACAACTTGCTTATGACGGAACAAGACTTGATTGTGAACTTCACCTCTATCATTAATGACTCCTTGAAAACACCTATCAATGAGGTTGCCAAGTCGTCTTTCGGTGTTTTGACTACAGAGAATAGACGAATTTGGGCGCAAATCCGGGCGTCCCCCACTATTACCGAAAACAAAAACAACAACGAAATTTTGTCTATCATTGACTCAGCTTTGTTTGTGATTTGCTTGGATGACATTGTCTTGAATGACTTGAGTGAGTTGTCGAAGAATATGTTGTGTGGGCTTTCAATCCTCGACAAGGGTGTGCAAGTAGGGACTTGTACCAATAGATGGTACGATAAGTTGCAAATCATTGTCACTCAGAACGGAAAAGCTGGTATTAACTTTGAGCACACTGGTGTTGATGGACATACAGTCTTGAGATTCGTCAGCGACATATACACGGACTCGATTTTGTCGTTTGCGCAGTCTATAAATTCCAACACTCCATCCTTATGGACAGATCACAAGTCCAAGAGCATTGCCGAAAATGGAGATTTTGTCACAATTCCAAGAAAACTTGAATGGGATCTCACCTCAAATTTGTCTCTTGCTCTAAGATTCGGAGAGACTAGACTCTCGGATTTGATCAACCAAAACGAGTTCAAACACTTGGAGTTCAAGAATTATGGTTCATTCACTATAAAGAAAATGAAGTACAGTCCTGACGCATTCGTGCAAATGGCATTCCAAGCCTCATACTATGCGTTGTATGGGAAGGTCGAGTGCACATACGAACCAGCAATGACGAAAAACTTCTTTCATGGGAGAACTGAAGCTATCAGAACTGTGAGTCAAGAATCTAACTTCTTTGTCAGAAAGTTTTTTGACCCAAATTTCCCTGATAAAGAAAAGTTGAAAGTGCTTTCAGATGCTTGTATGAAACATACTGAGCAAACAAAGAGGTGCTCTGCTGGAGAGGGTGTCGATAGACATTTGTTTGCTTTGTTTTGCATCTGGAAACGCTACGTGGCACAAGCTGAAGGGAAAGAGTCTATAACGGCAACAAGAATGGACGAAACTGACAGCCGTGCCACATTTACTACAGAGACTGAGAGCGATTCATCTGAACATACTGTGGGTGGGAATGATCACGAGAGCTCCAATGTGATTTTGGGAGAGTTGCCTGAGATTTTTGCCGACAATGGCTGGGACAAATTGAACAATACAATTCTTTCCACTTCAAACTGTGGAAACCCATCATTAAGACTTTTCGGTTTTGGTCCAGTCAGCGCTAATGGGTTTGGTATTGGATATATCATCAAGGATGATTCTATCTCCATTTGTGCTTCATCCAAACACAGACAAACTGAACGTTTCTTGGTCACGCTTGAGTCCTATTTGATTGAGATCTACAGGATCTTCAAGGAGGTGAATAGCAAATCTGATGTGGTGGCACCTATTGATACCAAGATTGAATCTGGTGGATACAGTTCTTCCGTACCACCAGTTGTGACCAGAGCGCCAATTCCGAAGAGACGTGAGCCATTGAACACTTTGTTTGGAGGATACGGCTATTTCGATATTGGGGATGACGAAATAAAGTCGCGAGGCGAAACACCAGAGCCACCTTTCTTAGGGAAGTTGGTCAGCCAGTTTTCCGTTAGAGATATCGAGCGCAAGCTCAGACTTTCGGAGTATTAGGAAATATTACATATTCAAACACAATTTATTTATTCAACTATGCTACCATATCTAAATTCCAAATGTTCCCTGATTCAAAGCAGCCCTTAAGTTAGCTTTGTTTGGCTTTGAATTTTTTTTGAAAGCATTTGCGCTTGGCATGTTCATCATTGTTAATTCACTCGCAGAAGGTTTGCCTCTTTCTGGGGGAGCGTTTGTTTGATAGTTTTGGGGATAGTAAGGTCTTCCATGTGGCGGGTAGTGCATCGTGGGAGGTGAAGCATACCCATGTCCTTGGGGTGGATGCAGATAGAAACTCTGAGGTGACATTTGATAAAATTGGGGTGTATGATGTCCTTGGGGATGGCCAGACTGTGGATACTGAGGTTGACCCAGGATTGCTGGCGAGGGACGAAAATACCCATGTTGAGGTGCCACTGAGTGCAGTGGCATTGGCTGTGGTGCCATTGAGTGGAGTGGCATAGGCTGAGGTGGCATTGATTGCGCTGGTGTTGACCGAGCTGGCATCGAGTGGGATTGCATGGTTTGAGGTGTCATTGACTGTCCTGTCATTGAATGTCCTGTCATTGAATGTCCTGGAAATGACTGTCCTGGAAATGGCTGAGCTGGCAATGACTGAGCTGGCAATGACTGAGCTGGCATGGGTTGGGCTGGCACAGGTTGTCCTGGTATGGGTTGTTCTGGCAATGAATCAGCCTGCCTCAATGGTGATCGTGACTTACCAAAAGTTGAATGAAAGTCTGAGGTGTCATTCTGAGAACTATGGGACACTATACCTGACTCAACCCGGAGTCCGGCACTTTTAGCTTGCAGTCCTTTAAACTGTCCCACCGAAGATAAAATGTCTGCATGATAATGTTCAGATCGGTGATTATGGGATAACCCCGATGGATATTGGCCATGGTTACTTTGTTCGGCTTGGACAATGTGCTCACCTGGTGGATTTTCAAAAGGAGTTTCACCTCTTGATTTATTATTCATACGAGAGTATTCCCCATTTGGCTGATCCTCATCTCTCAAAATCTTCACAGTGCCACCATCATAAACAGATTCATCAACATAATTCCCCGAGACTGGTGTGTAGTTTGTTGATTTCACGTCCACTTGAGATACTGCTGATTGCCCAGTGTGATGTTGGTTCAAAAGTTGCTCGTTGACTGAACTTTTAGTCGCGAGATGTACATCATTTTGGATGAAGTGCACTTGATTCTGGTCGTTGGAAGAAAGATCTTTGAGTTCTTGTTGAGTGATCGAAGCATTTTCTCTCGACTGAGAACGTTCGAAAAAAGATGTCTCATGGTGTGTTTGCGGCTTTGCTTCCATGGAATTTTGGTGAGATCTGTCCATTAGATCTGGTGATTCGGGATGGACACTCAAATGAAACTCAGGGCCCGAGGTGTCATACCCACTTGCAATAAAAGCATTGTCTCTGGAATTCTGTACAACGTGCGGAGCTGCATCATCATTGACATATCCAGAATATTGCTCAGCTGGCTGACTTACAGAAGTAGCACTTGCATGTTGATACAAATCGTCAGACTCCAGGATAACGGAGAATTCTGGTTGGTTATTTATGAAAGAGGGAGGAGGGCCATCGGGAATGTTACCCATCATTAGCTCCCAATCTTTTCTTTTCAGCTTCTTCTTTTTCTTTTTCTCCTCTCTTCTTTCAGAAACTGAATTATTCTCTGCCTCTATTAGATCTGCTGAAGGGATGATGTCAGTTTTGAAATCTTTTTGATTTCTTCCCGTGGGATCAGACTTTTTTGATGCAAATAATGGTTGCGTAAAATCTTTATCGGGGTACGATTGATCCAATGAATGCTTTTGAGATCGATGATACGCGTACTCCGGATCCTTTTGCGGCATGAAAGAATTCTCTCCATCTTCCAAGCTAACATGATTTTGACTGTAATCCCCAGTTTTGTAACCTTCAACATACTCATTTGATGCTGTGATAGCTACAGATGTCAGTGGTGAAAGCAAAGCCGAACTTTGCTGATTCTCGATAGTATCTGGAGGCGAATGAAGAGCAGGTAAATCCTTGTCGCGTCCTGGGAAGTAATCATCATGCGGGTGATCATGATATCTTACCATTGGCAGATCATTATGGGTTCTCTGATTATGTCCAATTGGCTTCAGCCCCCGATGATTAGCTTCCTCAAGTACCAAATAATTGTCAAAAGGCTCGGAGGTTCCATCTTTTTGGGTATAATCAAACACAGTATCATAACTTTCATACGGTTCTTGATATTGTTCTTGGGTTCCAGGCGGTTTTGACACGTCTATTTCACTATTATCAGATCCTTCGAAAGCATTTCCATACTTCTGGTCGTGATGTTTTCCGCCAGCCCTTTGGGATTCTGAATTCTTTGGAAATTTCTTCCTTGGGATGTCCGCCTGCTTTCGCGGCACTTCCAAAGGTGGGGGTGGAGGTCTGTTTGTACCCTTTTTGGGAGGAAAAACCATTCTCTCACTGAAGCTTTGGGAGAACCCATCACTGTGGTCAGACAAAGGGGAACGAGCTTTCTCATATCTATAGCTCTCGAAATCATGATCGTCAAATGAAAATTGGTCATTTGAGAAGGACAAATCTGGAAGAGGCGATCGATGACGTGCTGGTGGAAGATGTGCTTCCTTCAATGGAACTGGAGGTGGGGGAAGTGGTTGCTGAAGTTTTAGGGTATTGACGTCTGGACGAACTTTGGGAAGGTGCGATTGTTTGGGTGTAGGTGGCAAGGGGCACTTTTTAGGAGAATCAGCAAAAACATCTTTCTTCGGGGACTTGAAAATGGAAATATACTCCTCAGGTTGAATGGTGGTTTCAGACAAGACCATCCACTTCTGAAAGCCACGCAATCCAGCTTCGACCACAATTGAGCGGCCAAATATAGATTTGATGTTTGAGGTCTGGTCAGAACCTAAGGAGGAGAGCCATGTCCAGATAAAGTAGTCTTGGAGAGTGACACTCGTGATTCTCACTTCTGAATACAAAGGAATATCCGGTTCCTCCAAATCTAAAGACTCTTGGGCCCACCCAGGATATAAACCAAATTCAGAGGGGATAGGATCGGCAGTCAAGCGTGAAATAACTCGCCTTGATTCCTCAGAGAACGTAGAGACAATATCAGCAGTAGACGGCTTTTGAAAAATGTTTTTCAAAATGGTAAAATTTTCGATCGAGAGGAAAAAGTCCTTCTTATCGAATGAAAGTGAGCGTCGAACTTTGCTGATTAGCTCATATGGGTCTTTGGATTTTCGGGTTGAGCGCACGCTTACACAAGGTATGGTAATTACTGACTTGACGGAGTTGCTGTTCTCTGGTGGCGGATAAGAGTTTGTTATAAGCAAGGATTGAAGCGTCTTGGGAAGATTTAAAGTATCTGCTTCTGTGTCCGGTAGCATTGCACGCAAGAACGAAAGGAGAAGATGAAACAAGCCATTGCACATTTGCTTCCACGCTTCAAGACCGTCTAGAAAGTCCCTCTCGGATATCAAAGTGGCGTCGTAGAATGCTGACGTGGATGAAGGTCTGCTTCTGAAAGCCCAGATACTGGCCATTTTTGCGACCTTTCTCCCGTTGAGATGGTTATACTGAGAGTTTGAGGCAATACTTATCATGAGGTCCAAAAAGTCATACACTATGGACGCATGTGACGATGACAGAAGGCATTTTGGCATGATCGTCAAGAATGCATCTTTTGGGTACCCTGCTTCATGCTCCTTCCGCTTAAACTCAAGATAAACGGGCCATCCGATGATTTCGCTATTCGGTAGCCTACACCAGAGGTACTTAAGGCCACAGATGAGCGTGAATTCATCAAAATCGTTCAAAATCGTGCGCACAATAGCCTTTTGGGAAGTATCCACCATCACTCCACCTGGGAAGATCCGTCGGAGCAACAAGTTGAGCTTTGTATCATCCACACGCGAACGAAAAGGGAGGAAAATATGCGGTGTTTTAGTTCCACGAGCTTTGAGCTCCGCAGTCATGATATGGAGAAGGCCTTGAAGCTTTCGGCGGGTTAATTGGCTATCTGAAATCAGTTGATGATTCCGCTCGTGCATTGCGGGGAGCACGGGGAGATCAAGGTCGTAATCTTTAGCCATGGCTGGCACCAATATGTACAGTAGATCAAGATGCAAGCAGACCAGAAGTGTCCTAGAAGAGTCTCTTGATGTTGAGTTGGTTTATGAAAGACGTAAAACTACTCATTGAGCCTAAGCCACTGGCTACGAGACAGGCATAAGGCATAGAGTAGCGAGGAATCTGGCGCACTATTACGAGGACGGCCTTGAATACATTTGATTAGGCGGGTCGAGAAAATAAAGAGATGACACAGATACAGCATATTATGTACTCATTTAATGTGCTATATGGCTCCTTGAGTCTATGCGGCATAGAGCTTTTTTGTTCACCCTCTAAACCTATTGCAAATATTGAATGGCGCAGTCTGTGAGAAGGCCTGACTAGAAAAAACAGTAAAAAAAGCGGAAAACGCGCGCATGGCTTAGAATAAGACTGATGCATCTTGTAGAATAATCAACAAGAACTTGATCGCAAGATACAATATTTTCAGCCATCACCTATATTTTTTACTGGGGGATAAATGGTTTGGGCTTGAGAATTCGTCCTTATTATTCTTGGAAAGAACTATATTAGACAGGAAATGGAAGTGTTCTAGGCGTCTTGCGCATTCCCAGGATCAGAATTTTACTTCTTCTGGAGATGTATTCAATATCTTGAATGTGATCTAGAGCACTGCTGGGAAAAATAATTCCGCGGCAGATTTGCTTGCGCTCTACACACATTAATCTCTGGTAACTGAAAGCGCCGAACACATGTCAGTTTTGATTTGAGTGTACTTCAGAATGAAACAAGGTACTCTCTACTTTCCGAATTAAGATAAAAACAAATGGATAGAATTGGAAAATTTTTCTTGTGGCCCAGGTCAAAAAAGTCTGGAAATATAGAGATCCCGTGAACAATAAATAAACTCTATGTTTTACTCTCTCTGGTCCTTATAGTTGGAATTGTCGCGCCAACATACCAGAATTAGGATTGTGGTGCTGTAGATCCGCCATGCTAGCAATGGGACGTAGATCATATCCTGAGATTTGCGTCTCCTGCTTGACATGCTGAAGATTCGAAGTACTGTTTACAGGCCGAAGATTGCCCTTATCATTCGGCTGCACGCCTAGCCCTGTATGATGACCGTTTGCCTGCGAGAACTGCCTGTTCATCACCAAACCAGTATCATATGGTATTTGGTCTCTGTGCTGGTGGTTGGGTACATTGGCCCCGTGAGTCAAGTCATGACTGTCATGAACATGAAGATCATTGACCACGCCACCAGTATTTACACCACCAGTGTTTAAACCACCGGCATTCAAACCACTAGCATTTAAACCATCAACACTCAAGTTGTTGGTGTTCATGTTGCTGTTGTTCAAACCATTTATGTTGTGAACACCAGGATTCAAATGTTCCAGACCGCTCATGACCATCAGCTCAACCGGTTTCGAAGGAGGAGGTGGATTGTTCATGATAGGAGGAACAGTTGTTGGTAGCGCCGAATAAGTTGGATCTGGATTCTTGCCGCCGTGGGCAAGAAACTCTGATTGGGAGATAATATTCTGAAGTTGCTGGTATCCCCCAAGGGAATTCAGGAGCGCAGGACAATCTTTGTGGTTGATTAAGATACCCTTTAACATCAGGATATGGCCTCGGAGCTGAGCCACTTGTGCAGTCAAGTCTCGATACCCATCAGAGTAGAAGGCTAACTCGCTCTCCATTTTGTTGAGCTGCTGTTTCTTTCTTTGCCTGCATTTCAAGGCAGCAACCCTATTTCTTTCTAAAAAGAGTTTTCTTTTCTCATCTTCGTCAAGCTCGTCGTCTTCAGTTTTCGCTTCCTTGGTCTCTTTTCTGGCCTCTGTTTTTACCTTTGTTGCTGGAGTTGTCTTTGAAGTCTTTTGGGCCTTAGCCTCAGTTTTTTGAGCATCGTTTTTGAGAGATCGTTTCTTTGATTTCAGGGGAGCGTCACTTTTCGAAGCCGCTACCTCATCCTTTTCAGTCGATTTCTCTTCTGGAATAGTTGGGTGTGTCTCTGTATTCGTAGAAGAAGATTGATTCGGAAAAGTTGCAGCCGTGTTCGTCGGAACGGAGCCGTTGTTACTGCTAGCAGCTGGCACATGGGGCACAGAGTGCCCGTTTTGGTCGACGTGCGGATTGTTCACAAGCCCCAAAAGTGTTTGCAAGCCTGGAGTCATTTGGCCGTTGCCCATAGCGTCTGGAAGATTGAAGTTGAACCCAGCGTGGTTCATACCACCGGGTGTCAATCCAGTTCGGAGGTTGGACTCGGTAGTTATAGTGCCAGATTTACGCATGTACATAGGGTAGGTTGGTTGCGCGTACTGACCCGTATGCTGCTCACTCGTGTTCCCTGTGCCCACACCATTAGTGGCGGTCAACAAACTGCTCCATAAGTTTGATCCGGGCGTCCCGGGACTGGCCATCCCAAGCCCGGGCAGTAGATGAATAGGTGGGAGCCTGCGGCCGCCAGGAGTGAATACAGGGGGCGTGAGAACAGGTAAACGCTCATTGTTTACGCTGCCGAAATTCAGAAGTCGAAGATTATGTTTGTTGCTACCCGCTCCTGTCCCTGGCTGCTGATCTTGTGGATTCAGGGTGGCGTTTCCATTGGTTTCGGTAGATTCAGCATCCATGGGAGCCACAGAATGTTGAGGCCTGATCTCTAGAACTTCCGACGACGTCCCCAGAGCGGAATTTCTATCTATCAGCAGTGAGTTTGGAGACACCATAGTTGTAGCCGTAGACTTTGCAGACACCTCTGGCACTGATGAGTTAAGCTTCTCATCATTCTTCCCCGTATGTGCATGAAGGAGATCCTTAGATGCAAAGGAATTTTCAAACAAATTGAGTTCGAGATCCAAGGGTGTTTTCAGCTGGAAGGTGTTAGTGTGTTGCGTTCGTAGGTTTCAGCTGAGATACGCTGTGAAAAGTTTTGTAAGTCTAAATCTTAAAATAGACCAGGCACAAATATTTCCACAACATGGGTGCCACCGATGGCAACTGCTTTTCTTTTATCACATATACATACATTGCTTGTCATGACGTCAAGTCGTTCTCGAACTTAGTTTGATTCCCACGGAGACTTGCTGAGTATTTTCGTTCCGTTCAAGCTTACGTCATTAGTCGAGATCCCGCATGCCGGCATCGTCGTAATTGCTGATTCTTACGTACAGGTCCCTTCGCCGAAGTTGCTTGAATCCAATACCTTAGTTCAAAGGCCTTTTTAAGCTTTGACATCATCGATGTCAGTTATTTGAGGACGTAAAACTTCATAGTCTAAGAAACTTAGGTTAGAAATTCTCACAAGTCATGTTTATTTATCTGAACAATGCAGGATATGTATAAAGATGTTAAATCCGGTCGCAGTAGTAGACACCGCGCTCAAAGTCGCGAAGTTCCATGTTACAAATCACTCAATAACTTCTTTAATCTCTTTCAATGCATCTTCTACCTTTTTCTTGTCGCTTTTTTCTTGCTCTTGGATTGAGGGATCTTTCGCAAGCTCTTCGGTCAATTCATCATCCACTTTCTTGGCCACAGGAGCAGCTTTCGGCGGGTTCTTCTTATCAATTTTTTGCGGCTCAGACGCAGCCAAAGGTTCAGGCAGACCCTCAGAACCGACGGAGGCTCTAAACTTTCTTTCATTTCTCTTGTCGCCATCCTCCCTGCTCCAGCCGGTTTTAAACAACGGACTCATGTCAAATTTTGGCAAAGGATGTGCCTCTGTGTTGAAAACGTACTCCGTGAGAGGTAATTTGTTGTCGTCGTCGAACAACAAGTATAGGTACTTTAAAGTTTCTGCAAGCCAAAAAGACTCCATGTTGTCAAGATACTTGGGTGGTGTAGAAGTCACATCTTTCAAAGACGTGTAAGTGACCTTTCCATCCTTTCCCTCCACGCGGGAATGAGTAACAAAGTTGCGAAATATTTCGTACCCCCATTGTCTGTACTTCTCGTCACCAGTGAGCTTGTACAAGTAAAAGAAAGACTCCACGGTCTCGGGTCTTTGTAGGTTGTGCCTGTCTGCGGGTTTAATATCGAAATCCTTAGTACTATCCACGTCCGTGTTGAAAACAACAATTTCGGGGGACAATCCGGTCTCAACTTCGCTGTACATTTTGTAGCATGTATGAGTCAATTCTTCGCCTAGTTTAAAATCACTTTCCTTGTCATCGTCCCAAAAGGGCAGTTTTCGAGCCTCTTTTAAGGTCAATCCATTAGTGGCTCCGAGTGCAAGAAGTCCGCCATAAAAACAAACAAGGTGGTCCATTTTCGGGGACAACGGGCCACCAATCCCTTTCTCAAGTTCTCCAATGAACGTGAGACTGTTGGGCTTCAGCTTTGAAACAAGGTGCTTTTTTACGCCTTCGACGGACTCTTTGTACATTTGCCAGTAGATAGGCTCTTCGTTTTTAGTTTGCAAAAATTGTTTCAAGAGATACTCATAGTAAGAGTCGCCTCGCGAGCCTAAGCGAATTAAGCTACCACGGTATTTTCCTGTGTCAGGGTGAACGTATATGGGAACAAGGCCATCTTCAGGCTTGTTTCCATCCAAAACTTGCATGACTTTTTCGGCATCGGTCCAGTATAGTTCCTCCCCAGTCAATTTGGCCAAGTATCGGAACTCCATTTGCAAAGTAGACACTTCTGCAGTTGAAGATGCTCCGCCATCGACATGGTTCTTGATACCTTTGCCCGTCAAAAGGTTCACGGACGAGAATGGGATACCAGAAGCGCTATCGAACCCACCTTTTAGTGCCTTGGCAAGTTCGGCAGCTCGCTCTAGAAAGATGTCATCATCAGAAAAGTGGAATGCAGACAAGAGCCCGCCCAACATCCGGATGGTAGTCTCAAAAACATTAACCCCATAGTCGAACTTGTAGTTGAGTTCTGTTTTTACCCAGTCCTTGGCCTTGGCAAACTCGGGTTTACAGTCCATGATCCACAAAGTATCTAAGGAGTCCACAATGAACCAGCCCAAGGGTTTTTTCCCCATGTTCTCTCCTTTCCCGCTGATGGGGTGAAACACGTCTTTTCCCCACGCATTTTCCTCATATGAGCGCCAAGACTCAAGGAATACTTCCCGTACTTCTTGCTTAGCTTGCGGCCAAGACGTTGCGGGCAGACGACCGAAAGTGGGAAGCGACACCGAGCCGAGGAAGAAGTAATACACTATGTAGAGTGCAATTGAAGATAGGGCCGCACGCGCAAGCATGACTTTCTTCGATTTCTTACGATCTTTAGATGGTGTGAAAGCAGATCTTTGCGAGGGCGGTTTATCTTTGTAGAGGGGGAGGGGCTGGTTTTTAGAAGACCGGCTGTATAAATTGAAGTCACCTTTTCTTCGCAAAAACGGATTCATCGGTGTGATTGGTACCGCTGTGGTGAGACAAATTAACACCACATTTTCTTCCTTTGCAGAAGGAGCGAGTCGCGCGACCTCTACTGCACTGATCGAATGGAGGTATATTGGAAGCCGCACTTGAGGTGATTAGGACATATATAGCATCAGGTACTTACATTAATGGCAGCAGAAAAACGGGTGGAGTGCAACAGATGCCAATATTTGATGAAGTGCTTTGAAACCATTCAATTTGTTAAATTTTTGTAGGTATTCTCATGGTTTGTAGTTCACGTCTCTGCGCGCGCAAGAATAGGGTACAACTGCGCCCCCAACTTGTGCACCGCCGTACCCTCATACATGGCACTCATCTGATGAAAATTATGGTCGTTTAAGATTATATTGACATAAGGAGATGAGGAAGTAGAGTGCTCCAATGAAGGAATCAGGATCGATTCAGATCAAAAACAAAGCGGTCGAGGCAATATGAGAGTCAAGGAATACGCAATTCTAGATCGGCTGTACCAGACTTTGGAATCTACCGGCTTGACACTCTAAAAATACACATACAAATAGGACCATAGAGAAGATTCTTTTGTATTTTGAATAACCTTGGTGAATTGACATTTTTTGGTTTTTAGTGATGAATTTTTTTTACTGAATTCGCAAAACTTTATTCGTGGATATACCGGAAGCAGTTCATGCTCTTACTCTCGGCAGCGAAACAGCCGATCCCTCGGCATAGATATTTCATTGTTTACGATATTGGCTTCCAATTTTCCTAAATTTTAAACATAAACCAAAACTGAAGCTTTTTTTCAATTATCAAGTGACTGTAGATTATCGTTTGCTCAAGGAGCGTTTTTAGAAAATGTCTCAATAATTCAAGTTTAAACTGAAATACGAGCGCCCATATGTTCTATACATCGCATGGATGTCGCATCTGGCCCGAACAACTATGCCGAACTACCTCTAAAAACTTCTGAAGGAAGAGGAATACACCAATTAACTTATCACAAAGCCTCTAAACATTAACAGTTTTGGCCCCTCAATCATCATAGAGTCGTTCTCAATCTCGGCTTGACAAATTCACGGGCCCGCCTCTTTCGACTAGAAAGAACGGTTCTCGGAACCTCAACTATTCTCGCTTGAATTTTGCAGACCATCATGTCCACTAATTCACCTGAAGACATGGGTCTGGATTTTCGGGCAAGTAGTGACCAGTTACCAACCAACAAATCCGGCAGGTCACGGAGGTCCAGAGCGTGCAAACATTGCCATGCTTTAAAAGTAAGATGCATTCCTGTGGACGAGGACGATCCAGCATCTTCTTGCGTAAGATGTCTCAACTCGAAGAAAGAATGTGAAATTGATTTCCTTGAACCGAAGAAGAGGAGAAAGAAAACAGCTAACAATCCTGAAAAAGATTCCGTGGCCGAACTTAAGAAGGAGATTGTGGCTCTTCAGTCAGAGGTTAAGTATTTGCGCCTGAGGCTGGCCTCAGAAATACCAGGTACTAAGGGAGCCGATAATGGTCGATTGAATAATCAAAACTCCACTCCATCGGCGTTGGACACACCTTCACCACCTTTCATGACGAAGGATGATCTCGAGAAGGAACTAGGCCTCCTATATGGAAGTGACTTATCTTTGAAAGACATATCAGACGAAATCAAGGAGTATACTACTCTAAGAGAGAATACATTGCAACATGTCGGTCCTATTGATGTCGTCTCACTTGGCATAACCGACTTAAACTCTGCCAAGATTCGCCTTGATATATATCGGAAAGTCTTGTATTCTTCACATCCTTATGTCAATGTTCCGGAGCACTTGTCCGTTGAAGACATGATGAAAACACAGCCTTTCTTGCTTAATGTCATTATAGCAATTACATCCATTGTGCGCAAAGATGATTCAAGTTTTCTGCAATCGTTGGCTCTCGAGAAACATGCTACTACTTCTGTCACACGCGAAATTTTAGTGAACGGCTCGAAGTCTGTAGAGTTGGTCAAATGTCTCATCCTTATGTCAGTGTGGTATAACACGCCAGAATTTTTCAAGGCAAGACGATACCATATCTTAAATCAGATGGCAGTTACTTTGCTCTACGACTTAGGCATAGTATCCCGGCAATCTTTCACATATTCTGGAGAGACAAAGACTATCAAGAAGTCGGAAGCCCTGTTTGATGACATTGAATACCGTGTTTTGATCTTGACGTTGTACTGCAGTACTGTTGGCTTTTGCTTGATTCTCAGACGGGCAATTTTTGTGAAGTGGACGACATACGTTGAGGAATGCTGTTCAGTCTTAGAATCTAACCCGGGGCAGCATTACAAAAATATAGCACTTTTCCTGAGGCTTACTCGAGAATTGGAAAAAGTCCATCACATTGTTCATTCACCTGATTGCTTTGTCACAAATCCAAAGATATCCGAATACACAATTACTGATCTTAACACCAGGTTACGAGCAATAGGAAATACATTGACCAAAGATAACCATATCTTGTTGGCGTACTACTATTCCATCGAGGCCTATCTTTCTCAGCCTCTGTCCGAAGACTTGCAGGTGCGGTCGACGGGCTTAAATTGTACGGAGAACCTCACCACAAGAACTTTGAATACAATTTCCCAATGCACATCATCTTGTCTCAAAGCAATGGATGAGTTCAACCAATTGACAGATGAACAAATAGCGGGGCTTCCGCTCTTTCACTTTACCAGATATATTTACACTGCTGGAATTCTTATGAGGCTACGGTACTTTATCTTGTCCTTGCCATCAAACATTGAGAAAGACTTGGTTCCTCGTTATGCAATTGTCTCTGTGCTGAATCTACACAAACGTATCAATGCAATTTCAATCGCCTATCCTACGAACTTCCTCATGAAGAAAATGAAGCTTGTTCTTCGGTTGTTCGTGCAGACATATGTAACTCAGGTCAACGAGCTTCTTACTCGCAACGAGGATGGCACTTCTAGCGAAATTCCGGCGCAAGTTTCAAATCCCGAGTACAAAGACATGAATAAATTAGCTCACTCAATACTCAGCTCATCTCAAGGAAATCAAATGGGGCAGAACTACTCTCGGGGAGTACATCTTGATTTATTATCTTATGCTGCTACAGAACACAGCAAGACAAATGGTGTAACCCTAAAGGGTGGAGATATGGCTGATAACTCAAACAAACCGGATTTGCCTCCCAGTAATGGCTTTACTGTGGAGACAGCAAAACATCCGGAAACTTTGCCCACATCTCTGGTCACAAACATTTCTCAGCTGCTCCCACCTATGCCTCAGCTTAGAAACAACCTAGGAAATAGAATGCGCGAGGGGATTGGCGCTCCATCTTCTGGCAGACTTGCAAACGGCGATGTGTTCCCGTTGCCCCCACTCCCGGTTAATACGCAACAATTTCTCCCCATTAATCATAATGATGCAGCGCCAGCTACTGACCTCACGAGTGAGTTCAGGGATCTGAACAAAGACATCTATGAGTTAGATGACGAGTTTTGGTCTAGTCTATTGACTACTGATGCCGATAGGTACTCTTTTGCACAAGATGTTCCACACGGCACAGAAAATGTGCTTTATAATATATTCAGCTAGCAGTCGTGCTCTGCTTTATTTCACATGTACGCCTAACACTTAATTTGCTAATGATATAATCACTTAGTTCTGACTTGTAAACAGTGGCGGGTTTATTTTGTCATGAATAAAACAAAAAAACCATGTCTGGCAAGATATAGACGCTGTCTGGCTTCCAAATATCAAGAGTCGCGTACGTCACACGTGCGATCGATCATACCTTCGCGCGGTCCAATCAATCTAATGAACTAGAGTCCAGATAGTCTCTCAATTGGCGTGTTCTGCAATGAACCCTAGTGAATCTCGCACAAGATTCAATGTTTTGGACATAGTCCGCGTTTTCGCTGGAATTTTACTCATCAACGCATTGGCCTCATGGTGGTTTACATCATCTCCTACATGGGGCTACACTGGCAAGTATATTGACCAAAGATATCTAAAGCATCGCCTTTTTGGCCGCCAAGTTACACTTACGCCTCAGGAGCTTCGCTTGCGGGATGGAACCGATACTAGTCTTCCAATATATATTGGTATTGGTGGCCGTGTGTATGATGTGACAGCCTCTCGTCATATATATGGGCCAAAGGGCCCTTATGCTTTTTTTAGTGGAAGAGATGCAGCGCGGGCATTCGTCACAGGATGTTTTCAAAAAGAGGACGAGTTCACTCACGATATTCGGGGTCTTGATCCTGAAGAGGCCAGGGCTGATATTCAGAGCTGGCAGGACTACTTTGAACGCAGTTCTAAATACTGGTATGTGGGGACAGTGATCCACGAGCCTTTAACCGGTGACCCACCCGCTCCATGTGATCATCAGAAATACCCTCATTACTAAGCTTGGTCACGAGCACCAGTTTATGAATAGCTAAGCCAACAAATTCTGTGAGCGAAAGAAATTGTTTGTTTTCATGCGAATAGAAATATTTTTTTATCGGCGTTTTATGGCACGGCAGCAGCAACGTCCAAACTATCTTGCAAAGTGGCAAGCAATTCATCCTTATCCTCCAATCCAATACTGATTCTGATCAAGTTTCTGTCCACTCCCCATTTTTCTACCTCGTCTAATTCCTGGTAATGCGCAAGAATCGCGTAAGGGCATGCTAGAGAAAAATTAGTACCCAAAGAAGGGCCCTTGTGCAAGTTCATGGCGTCAAAACACGCGGGCGCCCGCTTCGGCTCTTTCAAAAAAAATGAAATCAACCCTCCATAGCCGCCAACCAGCGTCTTAATTTCATCGTAGAACTTCCTGCTTTCAGAGATTGAAGGATAGAATATCTGAGACACAAGTGGGCTTGACTGCAACAACTCCACCACAGCTAATGACGTCTCATTAACTTTTTTTGACCTCTCTTCGAAATCTCTGGAGTTTCGTTCCAAGTACAACGCGTCTTCTGCCCAGACAATATCTTCATAGTTAATGTCAAAATACCCTTTTAATTTGCGGTACATAGGCGATGACCTGTTCAAAATTAAGGAGCCTCCCATCACGTTGGAATCTCCCGAAAAAATCTTTGTCAATGAGGAAACGATCATGTCAGCATATTGAAGAACAGCTACGTTCAAGAAATTTCCCACAGTCTCGTCAATGACCACCACAAAGTTGTACTTGTCAGCAAGGGCACGCACTCTTTTTAAATTGGGTGTCTTTAACAAAGGGTTTGAGGGGCACTCACAGAAGAATCCAGCAATGTCAATATCACCAGACTCCAATCCCTTCTCCATTACATCTAGCGAATCATCGTCACCGAATCCATAGAAGTGACAACCCGGTCCAAATTTCCTCAATATGCTCAAAGTGTCCACGTAAGGAAATCCAAAACACACCAGTTTTTTCGCAATCAGAGAAATTCCAAGTATTGCTTGATGAGCATTGAATATGGAAGCCATTCCGGTGGGGTACAAGTACACGTCATCTTCGTTGATATTCGTTCCTCTTTTCTTGTCTTCAACTGTTGCATATTCCTGGTCTGTTTGACCGAGATCTGCTTTGCCAGCAATTCTCCGGCGCAAAGCAACTTTGGCCTGAGTGGCAAATTTGAGATCCAAAACACGGCCATACTTTTGCTCAATGAAAGTGTTGAATTCTCTGTCCACGTTCTCGTTTTGAGACATGGACTCCGAGCGCATGGATGCTGAGATGGATGGGGATTTTCTCTGTATGTTCTGTGCTTGAAGTTCTTGTTTGCTTCTGCTTCTCCGTCCTTGTGGCTTCTCTTCTTTCTCGAACAACTCCTTCAAGACGTATTCAGCCAATCTAGATGAAACTCCTTCACCCGCGTGTTGCCAGTATTGCTTGGCGAGAGGAAAGTCCTCCTCGGGCATGATAACGCAAACTATTGTGCATTCAAGAACAGAGGATTTCTCAAACTCTGTTCTTGGCGGGCTGGTTGTAAATTGAAGAAGGCGCCTGCCCAAATTAGGCTTATTAGATTTGGCCCTGATGAATTCACGACAACGTTTCGCAACAGCCGAGGAAGGAAACAACATGCACCTTTCTCCATCTCTAACATACTTAGCTTCTATGCGTTTAGCCAAATCTTGGATGATGCTATGGATGAAAAATCTAGGGTACCCAGATGTCATTTTCTCCAGGACCCATGACTCACCTTCCTCGTACCCGACCACAGCCCGCCATGTGGGCAACGTCACAGAGACTGCATGGGCAGTATTGTTTGGGATGGTGTCTCCCACGTTCTGGGACGGTCCTGATTGCGTCATAAATTTGTGATTGCAAAGTATTGTATCAGCTAGAAGTAGAAAGATGTATAGCCCGCCGTTCGCAAAGCTATGACGCACTCTCGTGTGCCTGAGTGGCGCGAGTGCGTGCGATTTCTTTGGATGCAAATTTATTACTTTCATAGAATGAATTAGTTTTATGCAACTTGCTTCGATTTAGAAATCTGAATTTATAGAGAGACGTATTTGAAGCCGTCTTGTCTGCTCCAGCAGCAATCTGCTGTGTATTGCGATGTATTGTTCCTGTGTCGGGTCTATTCAGTCAGTTGTCGTCACTCCTAATCACCAGCTGTTGCTCATTTTCTTCTTTTATAAAACCGCCAAATATGACATCAATATCCGGCTTTGACACTCCTTGGAGGTAGGTCACGTAAATAGTACTCAACGCAAGTAGTCAATTTGCCTTATCATCATTCTAAAAGGTTTGTACACGTGACAATATATAAGGAGAGTAAGACTTCTTTGTCAATTCAAGTATACAGAGTCATGTGACAGGCGCAAATTATATTATTCGAGTATTTTTCATTAGGGGAGAAGCCTGCCGTAAGCAGTGACAATGGTATTATTGAATTCTAATCTCATGACTTGATGCAACTAACGGAGCCTTCAGTAAGTCGACTCATATCTTTGGGTTGCTCAACTTGAAGTGCGGGAGTTGCTGGGTTACCTCCCTTACGATTATGTTGCATGTGCGATTGAACCAAATGGCCGGCGGCCAATGCAGAGCACAAAGAAAGCTCTCCAGCTAGAACTGCTGATGCCACAATACAGGCGAGACGACGCGAGTTTTCACCCGGACTGGTTGGGTGAGGCCCACGCACACCCAAAAGCTCCAACATAGCACCTTGCGGTTCTAATATAGTGCCTCCTCCAATAGTACCAACTTCAATGGAAGGCATTGAAACAGAGATTTGTAAGTCACCATTAGCTGTTTTGTTCATGAGCGTCATACAGTTTGATGACTCGACGTTTTGAGCAGGGTCCTGACCACATGCCAAGTAAACGGCGGTCACCATATTGGCAGCATGCGCATTGAATCCGCCAACAGATCCTGCCATTGCAGACCCAATCAAGTTCTTGCTGATATTCAATTCAACCAACGCATCTACGTCGGACTTTAAAACTTTCACAACAACGTCGCGCGGAATTGTGGCCTCTGCAACAACTGACTTTCCTCTTCCCTCAATCCAATTGATTGCAGCCGGCTTTTTGTCCGTACAGTAATTACCAGACACGGCCACTGTAATCATGTCCTCCCATCCACAACTCTCAACCATGTATTTTAAAGAGTGTTCCACTCCCTTTGAGATCATGTTCATTCCCATGGCATCTCCGGTCGTGGTTTTGAAACGAATGAATAAGAGAGTACCAGCAATAGCAGTTTTGATGTGTTGTAAACGAGCGAACCGAGAAGTTGAATTGAATGCTTTTTTGATGGTCTTCTGACCATCCTCAGAATCCAACCAAATCTTGCAAGCACCGGCTCTAGCCAACGAAGGAAACGAAACACAAGGGCCTCTAGTCATACCATCTTGTGTTATGATGGAGTTCACACCACCACCCGCATTAATCGCTTTACAACCACGCATTGCGGAGGCTACTAAGCACCCTTCAGTGGTCGCCATAGGAATGTGATAAGGTTTTCCATCAATGATCAAAGGTCCGGCAACACCGACTGGTAATGGAATGAAACCAATGACATTCTCGCAACAGGCGCCAAATACACGGTCGTAGTCGTAATGAGCATAAGGCATGCTGTTTGTATCAATGATGGGGGCGTTTGCAAGCTTTGAAATGGCTTTACGACGTACCACCACAGCCCTAGTATTATCACCCAATTGCTTCTCCAATGCATACAAAGGCAACTTACCTGCAACAACCAAAGAAGAAATCTCAGCGTCATTCAAGGTTTTGAGTCTACCATCTTGCATTTTCTTGACACATTCATCAAGAGGAAGCACCTTGTTTGACACTGAAAAGTTAATTGGCTCCTCAATAGAAGTAGAATCATCAGACTCTTCAATGAGCGAACCATGGTCAACGCTGGCCTTACGTGATACGCTTATTTTCGGGCTTGAAATTTGCTTCTCAATCAATTTTCGCGTGGCAGTACGTTGATATCTTGTCGCATTCAAAAGATAAGCGTTCGCAGAAATTGACAATGCGAAAGCAAAGAGCAAAACTTTAGAAATCAAGGAATCTCTAATTGCACTTGAAACCACCTCCACGAACGCCACAACGTAATCTTCGATAACCACTAACGTTCCTAAAGGAACGTACACCTTCGAACTGAAGAGGGTGATCAACGTACCTTTCAGTCCAATTGTAATGTACTTCGAGGCAGCTCTAGATAAGTCCTGGGGCTGGATGAGCAAATTTTGGTTTAGCCCAGCTGATCCGTATAACCACGAACTTCCCCACCAAAAACTATGGAAAGCAAAAAAAAGACCAAGAACAGCAACTTTGAAAGAAAAGGCAGTACCCCTGCTTTTCTCGTCCTGAGAATAGTCATTTTCGGATTTGCGATTGGCAATACTTGCTGCTACCAACGAAGAGACTCCTTCTTCCTCTAAAGCTGATTGCAACTCATTAGTTTTGCGTGCTCGTTTTATTTCAACGGTCAAGGTCAACACGGATGAGTAGAATGTGTATACAAGCAAAAGGTCGAAGGCCAAAATTAAGCAGCTCAAGAGGCAAAAATTTCTCAAGCTTTCCATTTCGCTTGCAACAAGCGCCGCGGAGAACAAGACCCCAATAATAACAATGTAATCTCTCAACATGCTGACAGAGTGGCTTGCAACAGCATTGGAAACGATAGACTTCACATCAAGATGCGAGGAAGATGCGCTCATTACCATCTTGGTGATTGAGACCTTGTGTTTGAAGCCAATAATCGCAGTCAAAAATGGAATTCCCTCTATCATTGATAACAAGGAAGCCTTGGAGTTGAAAAACTTAGTCGCAGTTGCCAACGCAAACAATAACGCAAAAGCAGACGAGATAATGATTGAGGTAGCAAGTGTAAAGTTAGAGCCTGTTTCGGTCAACTCAATGAACACGCTGACTACTGTGTAAATCATGGCAAAGTAAGCAAGTGTGATCAATGCGATATCGAATGCTGAGGCACTCTGCATCAACGAGTAGATTTTAGTGACGACGTGTTTTGCGTAATCATAAAGACGACGCAACTTGTAGTTACTTCTGGACTTCCATGTGACACCTTCATGGTTAATCCTGTTCAAGTTCAACATAGCACTATCCAAAGAATCGGAAGGTACAATTAATAGTCTCTCATCATGTACGCCCACAACGGTATTTTCGATTTCGGGGATGGACGAGGACGCGTGTGTCCGCCTAAAATCCAATGGGACTATAGAGAACTGATCCGCATCAGCGTACTGCGATATGTCTGTGACTTTCGTCCACTTGTTGTAGTTAGAGGCTCCAGGAGGGTGGTAGAAAAACACTTGGTGCTGTCTTTCCACCGAATCTGGAAGGTACTCCTCTACCACAGTCAAGTAGGCAATTGACGCCAACAAGCACGTGATTATGGAAAAATGAATAGGCTTGAGTGCCGCTAGCCTTGCCAACGAAGCTGCCCCATTTGTGATTTTGGTGAGCATTCTGGAGGTTAGTAAAAGGGTTCAAAAGACAAGCATGGGCGCAGTCTCATTTCAAGTTGATAGAAATCTGATCCTTTAGATGCGAAAAGAAGAAATACGTGTCTTTTTCCTCTGTTAATGTGTAACATACGTCAAGCCGGGATTGGGTGAACAGGTGAAATTTTGCCAGTAATTTTTTGAAGTTCTAAACGATGCGCGGCGTATACAAAAAAAATATACGCGGCCAAACGACGAAGCCAGCACTGAGATGTACGTGTTTCTCCATCAAAATTTCTTTTCGACTTGACATGTTGGAGTAGCCTCTGAAATAAAATCTTCTGGTTCCGAGATGATTCCTTAGAAAAAATGTGCTGCTGAGCGTTTTCGCTATTTCTTTCCTTTTAACCTGATGTTCGAGTTGCCGCTCATAGAGTATCAAAAGCGTCTTTCAGAGACGCGCGTTTGCTGGTCTCGACGGCGGTCCAATAAAGCTCCTCGTAGTTTTTTAATACCTCGAAAAGTTTAATCCAAGACAATGAGAGTAGCACATATACTTGAGCCCGCTTTGGCATTAATAAGTCACGCTCCCTTTTTCACCTTGTTTAAGCTTTCGCTTGGTTAAGTAATGGTTGAGGGATATTGAATTAGTTTGCAAATGTTTTTATACTTCGAGAAATTTTCCACATCTGATTAAAATATAGACACATTTTATGAGAGACTGAAAATTTAAACCTCATTTTTTTTTCGATGCGAAAGTATCATGGGTTGCAACGATGGAGTGTGATCAATTTTGAGGATACCTCGAGTTTGCTGTGGTTGATCTATAATAATGTATGGATTGAGATTTCTGTTTACAAGACAATTCTAAGTACTAAGTTATCATCACGCGCACGGCGTTAAGCCTATCGCCCAACGGGGAATACATTCTTAATCTCCACTTTTCAAATCGATGATGAAATGTCAGAATTAAAAAAATAAATACTTTTTCATACTTAAGTTTTTTTTTTTTTGGAAAATGACCACTTTGAAGCGGATGATTCTTCGGTTTAATGTCAAAATCATATTCTAAACCACATCAAGGCTTCCCTCAATGAACCTTCTATCGTTCTATTCAAGACTGAGTCATCGCTATGAATATGCGACTCAGCAATCCTTCGCACTTGTTTCTCAAATATGCCTAAAAATAGTGTACGAAAACCGGGCATATTGCTCGAGAAATTGGTATGACATTCAAAACGGAATCTTGTGGAAAGGAGGGAAAACAAATGATATCAATAATTCCTGCACGAGTCTCGAACGCCTACGAAATTCATAATTTGCCGGAGTACTTAAGAAGGATCATTATATTAAGGGTCGTCTTTTGCAGGTAAATATACATAGAAGCATTACACAACGCCGATGGCTAAATAACATTTCTCGCTAGTACAACTCTTCAAAGAACAAAATTTATACTGCATTTATAGGATGATTTTCAACCAGACTCCAGATTTTATATATTGTCAAACTACAGGAAGCGTACTTTAGCACCCCCAGGGACTGAAAACTATAAAGAAAATCACAAGAAAATAAATTGCCAAATCAGGTGATCCGGCCTCGAGGTCAAGTCAAATCCTTCCCTGCAGAGTAAAGGCATCAATCGCCTTTTGTGTGGAGTGAAATAATAAAATGGTAAAATTTACAAAAGAATATCTAGACCGTTCAAAATACCTTTCTAGTGTTGGAATACGACGCTTTACTTCCGTTAATCACAGCCTACGTAGTCTTCTTAGTAAATGTTTTTACTGAATATTAATCATTAATTTCTAGCTTATATTTAGGTAGAGTCATCCGATCAAACGAATAAGATTATACATCCCAGATGCATATCTAATTTTCGAACTCGGTCCGTTTTTCTTTTTTTTGGTAGATTCTTTTTTTTTTTTTTTTTTTTGGTAGATTCATCTGATTAAAGGGGCGAAACTATATAACGAATATATATAAAAAACCTTTAAACAGCTCCCAGCTACGTACCAAGTG